CTCTCTCTCTCTCTCTGTGTGTGTGTGTGTGTGTGTGTGTGTGTATCAACGCTCTTTCCGCCGCCTTTGCTCCGTCCACTCTACTCCTTGACCCCTTTGGCACAATGAGATAGGCTGAAAAAGAACAGAGGCAGTCGCAAGGCACAGGAATAGACTTAAAAAAAAACAAAGAAGAGTAGTAAATCATGAGGAGAAAAAATTGAACGGGAGAAAGGGGCACACATGCACGGGACAAATGACATTCGACAGGAGAAAGAACATGAAGACGAAGACCAGACGATGGATGAGCAGAGAGGGTATGTATGTTCAGACGATGGATGATAGGAGGACATGGCGTAAGAAGAGCAGTGGGAGTCGAAGGAGGAGGAGCAAGAAGATAGGAGGGAGTCGAAAGAGGATTCGCAGCAGCACGGGGAGTAAGAGCAGAAAGGACGAACAGGACAAGGACGAACAGGAGAAGGGCGAATTTGAAATTCGGGCGTAGCATAGCAGGACAAGGAGGAGTAGGTGCAGCAGCAGCAGGAAGAGAAGGAAGGCGCGGTTCACTCACCTTCCGCTTGCCCTTCTTCTGTCTCTCCACCTTCCTGATTTTCTTGCCCCCCTTGTCCTGAACCGGCGACAGGTACATCAGTATCGTCGACGGACCCTATGCCCGATTGAAGGCTAGATCCCCTCCCCTCCTCTCCTTCGCCTTCAACGTATCCCGCGGGTTCTCGATGATGCCGCTTCTCCTGATCAGCCCGATCAATATAGGGCATGTCGTAATACCTTCTCTCCCCATCATCTTGAATAGCCGCCCTGCTCATCATTATTTCTCTCTCCTCCGCCTCCTCCTTCTCTCCCTCCAGCGCACCACCGCTCACGCCTTCGTCCCCACTCGCCTTCCCTCGCACTGTCATCGCCGTCGCGTCGGATCCCAATCCCGTCATCAAAAGCGGCGCAGTGCCAACGACCCCCCGGTCTGCCACGTGGGTCATACCTCCACTCTCGTTCTTCTGTCTCGCCATCTCCGCTGAGGTGTCTGTGGAAATCAAATCGGAATCATCAGCGTCAGTCAACGCCGAGGCGTCCGTCGACATCACCGAGGAGCGTCGCCTGTTGTACTCAGAGACCCCTCCCTCCCCCACAGCGCTTCCTTCCCCTCCTACTACTACCTGAGACGCTTCCCATCGGGATCCCACACTCCCGCTCAAGCTCGTCTGCAAACCCCCGCCCAAACCACTGCTACTGATAGCAACTCTCCATGCATCTTCTCCGAGACTTCCTCCCAAACTAGCATCATCACCATACTCCCCCCCCCTCCCTCCTCCTCCTCCTCCTCCTCCTCCTCCTCCATCCCTTCCTCCAGGCGATGTCTCCGCCTCCACTCCCCCCTCCCCCTGACCGTGCCTGCGATCCTGGTGGTCCCCACCCCCACGCGAAGACTTGACATCCGCGGTAATCGAACGAGGAGGAGAAGACCTAGGCGAGGACAACACTCCTCTGCCTGTTGCTGTCGAAAGAGGAGATGATGCAGAAATCGGACCCGGCGCACTTTGCACGCCATAGCCGGCCCTCTGCCACGTGGTGATGAAAGGCGGGCTGCCGGCAGCTTGCCCTCCTCCACCTGGCAAACCCCCTTCTTCGTGGGTGGTGGAGACGATGCCACGTGGCGAGATCCCGTAACTAGGCGGAATCATCTTGCTCGCATGTAAGCCTCCCAGGGCCTCCGATGCCCGTTCCATCAACTCAACATCTGACGGCGAGGGGAGCGGGAAGATCCCTTCTCCTCCTCCTCCTCTCCCTTCTCTGGGAGTCACCATAAAGCTACTATCCCCAAGCACTGACGACAAGGTCGACGCGTCCAGCATACTCCCATCCAACATGCTTAGGGACTCAGCCACTCGGGCGGGGTTGCCACCGCTGGAACCAGAGGGATCGAACTGGGACAGGCCCATCTGAGAAAGAGTGAGCAGTTCCCAATCGGTCGGGACAACATCGTAGGGATCTGCGGCTCCATCAGCAGCACCGGCAACAACCCCTACTCTCTCCCCACCTGCTGCAGTCTGACGACCCACGCCATATCCTTGGTCCTCCTGGCCACTGACCTGCTGCTGCTGCTGTTCAGGAGCAGGAACAGGTCTTGAACCCTTCTCCTCCTCACTTGCTACTTCCCGCTCAGCGTCACTTCGCTTCCCTCTTTCCTCCTTTCCCTCCCCCCCTTCCACCAACCTCGCTCCTCTGATATCCGAAGAGCCAGCCATAGGAGCGCCGGAAATGTCACTAGACGCCCACGTTTCCCTTTGCTCCATCTCTCTCCTCTGCTCTTTCTTCTTCCCCTTCTTCTCCTTCTTCTCCTTCTTCTCCTTCTTCTCTAGCTGCTGCTGCTGCTGCTGCTGCTTCTCTTTGCTCTGTCAATTCTCGTCTTCCACCTCTTCCTCCTATTCCTTTCCTATCACTACTACTACTACTACTACTACTACTACTATTCCTCCTTCCTCTCCTCTTGCTGCTGTTGCCGCTGCTGATTCTATTCCCACTATCGCTTGTCCTCTTCCAACTCCTCCTCCTCCTCCTCCTCCTCCTCCTCCTCCTCCTCCTCCTCTTTCTCCTCCTACCACCGCCACGACTACTACTACTACTACTACCACTACTACTACCACTACACGTCACTAACACGCCCTCTCTGCTTCAACCACTGGCTGCTGGTACTGCACTCTAATTTGCTACTTCTAACTTCACTCCAATTTGATACTCGTTGTCTTCCCTCAGCTCTGGCTTACCTCTTCCAATCCTCTTCCATCCTCTCCTTCGTCTTCCACAGACAGACTACCGAGGATCGTCTCTACGACTCTTGCGCCCCCGAGATTCAAACACAAGGCAGAACTTGCAAGAAGATTTCCACTACAATTCCGTAACCAAAAACTCTAATCAGTCAATCATCCAGTTTTCTGCTATGCCGGAGAAACATGCAACAGCTTCCTACTGTGGTAATTGTGGTAATACTGTGGTAATTCTGGTAATTGTGGTAATTGTGAGTTACCCCTAAAGATCCCGACCGTCCATAGCTTTTCTTTTTCCTTCGTCTATGCCTTTTCTTCTTCCTTGTCTATGCCATCTTCACGCACTGACAGTGGCGGTGGGAACGGTAAGATTCGTACGACCGCCACTGACGCGACGAATAGGCACACAGGCAGACACGCAGGCAGAAAAAATGCACAGGCAAAACATTGGGCCTCGATGCACTACTCTCGCCATGCACAAAAGACAAAACTCATGGTGGTGCATCTTTCCATATTCTAGCGGAAGATTCACTCTCGTTTTGCACATTTAGAGGTAGAGCAGCGAGGCCCTGTGTCTCTCGACGACATCACATCATCAAATCAATGCCCAAGTTCAGAGAATACTCCCACTAGGACTTTCTCAACTTCTCTGTGGACGTAAATGCGCCCAGGTGCATCCACGCCTGGTCGGAAAAGGTTCTTATACACCAGGAGAGTCCTCGTGTGCAGAAGGGCTTGGCCACACCACTCTCGAAATTTGGCGGGTGCATCTGGCCATGTTCTAGCGAGACGTTCATTCTCATTTCGCAACATTTCGAGAGTGGTGTAGGCGTCCGCCCTTCTTGTTAGATTATATCTTTTTTTTTAACATCAAGAAACATCCTTTCAGCATACCAATTACTTATAAAACCAGGGGCCTAGGTCCTTTCCAGGAGTAAAGCCTACATTGCCCACATTGCCCAGGCTGAACTGTGACTCAAATCCTCATCTACACCAACCTCAGAGCAAAGAAAAGAAAAGCAAGGAAGCACTTATCTGCCTAGCTACCAAATACTCTTGGACTTCTTCCCTACCCTACCTAGCCCCAAAATTACCCCACCTAAAGCGTTTCGGGTTGTACACTACTTCCCACCCCTCTCTGTTCCCGGGTTTCCCAGCGGGAATCATACCCCCTTCTTGTTAGATTATCAGATTAGCGCCCTAGAAGAGAGCGCCCACTACCCGCTCCTAATTACTAATAATGGGTGTTGGCGTCATTCTTTTTTCTTTTCTTTTCTTTTTTTTGGCGTCATTCGTTTTGGCGGGATATCATTCATTTCACGACATGCACAAAAGACAAGAATATTGGCCCTGTATCTTTCCATATTCCAGCGGACGATTCACTCTAGTTTTGCACATTTCGAGAGCAGTGCAGTGAGGCCCATTGAAATTGATTGATGAATGATTTCAAGAGGCCTTGTCAGATCCCCGGTTCCCCACACGTACCCCTTCCAGCCCGAAAACGCTGCTGACAGGATTACACCACCTACACCTATGGGCCCTCGATCCACTACACAACACAACACTCTACATGTATCTGGACGTTATATATACCAGGTGCATTCAGATGAGTCCAACACTTCGAACGCATCCGGTCTAAAATACGTCCGAATGCATGTACAGTGTTGTGTAGTGATGGAGCGATGCCCTATCTCTCCTGCTCCGACTGCCATTACCGCCACGCTTACACAACCTATGCTGCTGCCCCCGTGTCACAGGAGGGCCCCCAAGGCTTATATTTCCATGCTGCCCCCCTGTGACAGTGGCGGGCCCTCTTCCCAAAAAAAAAAAAAAAAACAGACAGTGGCGGGCCCAGCCGATGTCCCGGCAGGCAGGACTCGGCTGAGCTCTGGGGTGTGGGCCGAGACGACGAGAGGAGAAGAGAGGGAGGTCTCGCAGACTCTCTTTTCTTCTGCGAAGCTCAATCAACCCCAAGGCCGCTGCACACATGGGGCGCAATCGTACCAAGGTTCCAGACCCCGATCAAACCCCACGGCTATCTGAATGCCTCCCACCAATATTTCTCAGCCCCGCTATCTTCTGGGTCTTCCCCGGCAAGGGTGCTCCGCCCCAATATTATATTTTGTGGGTCTGCCCCGGTCCCAGACTCCCATCAAACCCCCGCCTATTTGGGTCCCTCCCACCAATTTTGATCAGGCCCAATATTTTCTGGGTCTCCCCCAGCAGGCGAAACGTCCCCGTTGGGATGGCTTGTTGGCTGGTCCTGAGAACATGACCTGTCAGTGCCTGACCTGGTAGAAACATGGGCGTTTTTCCACTGCCCTGCTCAGCCCTGACCCCGGGAGGGGTCCACGAGTGCCATGATTGTGCTCTCCTAGAATGACAGTGGCCAATTCCATGACCAGGTTCATGCTTTCACAGGGTGAACTTAGCTCCATAATGGCTGCACAGGAGCCTCGCCTGTAGCCGACGAGCCACGCCCTCTGGTTCATGGTGTTCTTTCCTTTTAGGGAAAATCCCATATGCACCCCATGATGGGACACATTAACAGGCCTATCTCAGCTGGTACACCTAACAAACTGTTGAAATACCCACTCAAGTTCGAAACCACATGCAGTCAAAATTAACACAATAACGTACTTTTCTATTTTTTTTCAAGCTATATTCTTCTCAAAATTTCACCACACACTACCAACCTACCACTACTCCTAATTGTACACTACCAACCTACCACTACTAATTGTAGGCATACGGGCAACCCCGTAGCAGCCAGAACCTTGTTCACGAGAGAACACGCAGGGGCTGCTCCCGACCTGCAGGGGGGCGATACCGGCTAGGGGATAGCTGGTAGCATCAGGGACCATGCCAACAGGACCAATCCTGTCCCTGTGCCTCCCCTCAGGTCCCCTCCCCTACGAACATCAGCAGACTCTGCTCAATGCCGATCAGGGGATCCAGTGGTCTATCTCTAGGTGGCAGGCGCCAAGCATGCCCAGGAAGGTACATGAGACCAATGGGGATTGAACCCATGACCTCCTGACTACCACTTGCGAGCCTTACCAACTGAGCTAGGCCACTGGATATAACGTACTTTCCAGTTACAATGATGATATGAAAAATAAAAAATGAATATAAACAAACGCTGGGAATTCCTGTTATACCCAGTCCCAATGCCCAGCGTGTATCTATACCTTTTTTTTTTTTTTTTTTTTTTTTTTTAAGGGTGTTGTAGAGGCCAAGGACCAGACCCGCGGTAATTGCTAGTAGCGGCAGCCAATGGTTGTCCTGACAGGATAGGCCACCTACCCTACCCATCCCCATGTTAATACTCCCAGCTCACCCCCTGTCTCTACTATCCTACCTCAGTGTGACCAGCCAGCACTCAGGACCATCACCCTACCAATATCGAGGGCAACTTGGACCAAACAGCAGTGACAAGCACCAAGGTTGGGCCAACCTCCCAACCCTGATGGAAGCGGAAGCGGACGAACCTTGCCGTACGGGAACTTCGGACACCTGGCTCATGCAATCTTCTACAGGCCCAATTCGGAGAGTCCACCCAGCAGGATTACCTAAGCAAGGCAGGCCAGCGCCCACGGACACATTATACCATCCTTCCCCTAGCTTACCCAAGGCTAAGCGGAGCTCATACTAGCCGGAGCGACTTATATCCCTACCCCTACCGTAGAGCTAAGCCATGTGTGAGTAGACATCGTCATATACCTGATAGTCCCCCCCAGCCCAGTATCGTAATTTGTGTGTATGTGTGTATGCCCAAAGGCTATATATGTCTGTATGAGCCCATAGGGGCATGTAATTTTGTATTTGCTCGGAGGCTCTGTGTACCTGTATAGCGAGATGTATGTGCCCGAAGGCCAGATGTGTGCAGTCTATGTGTGCTTTGTGTAACTGAATAGCAAGATGTATGTGCCCGAAGGCCAGATATGTGCAGTACTATGCAGAGGGAACTAGGTGTTCGTTTGAAGAGATGACAGGCCAAGCTGGACAAGACCTCCTCCCCAAAGTCCCCAACCAGACTCGAACCCGTGATCTATGATATGTGACTTGAAGACTCTACCATTTCAGCAACAATCGCAAACGGCCCCTGTGCGTGATATGACAGACAGGGGAGATCAACAAAACAACCACGAGCAACAGCCACAAGCAACCCACGGAGTATCAAAACCCGACATACAATAGCATGGACAACTCTTGGGTGGTGCGCTTGCAGTGTCTGTATAAGCTTACCGTGTGTCATCCCAAGGGAATGTGTGTCCAACCGTGCGCCATTCTAACGCCCTGTCGGTATCCATGCGCAAGGCTGCAATTGAGTTTTGAACCCGCAACCTCATGCCATAATGCGCATTTCCAACTGGTGCTCTAACCACTGAGCTACATCAACTGGATGCGTGTATCTATACCCTGGAAACCGTTTGTGCAACGTATTTGCATACCCAGGACCGAGGAGGGTCAAGGTCGATACTGCCAATTTGCATTCATACACAGGCACCCAATTTTGTATGTCTAGTTCATGGACATAACCATAAATTTGTACTCCCCAACCAAAGGCCTGTGTGACTGGTACACATATGCGTTGGTACACCGGACAAGTAGGGTATTGGCCACTAGGACTGGGTATGGGGTACATCTGCAATTTCCCTTTTTTTTAATCCTTTCCCCCCACAAACTCATACCCCCTAAATTATCGGCGACTTGAGTCTGGTTGTGTTCATGTTTGGTTGTGCTCATGCTTTCTTAGCACGAATATAGCATGAGCATGACACGAACACAGCACAAACATACCAAAACATAGCACGAAATCACTTCTAAGGGTCTTGCCACAACACTCTTGAAAACTCATTTTCAACAACTTCTCCCCAACCGTACCAGCCGCCTGAGAATTGGGGCACAAAGAAACTTTCAACAAATATAAGAGTGAATCTTGAAATGCGAAAAAAAACAATCTACAACATTTGGATTTTCGAGCGTCCTCGGGTGTTGCCGCACTACATGTAAAACGACTCGGAGTGAGATTGGTCATTTTGTATCATTTACATACCGAGCCACTGCAGCCACAAAAGGAAGTCTTCAAATTGTTGTTGTGAGGTGTCAGACGTGTGTTGGAGGACGAACTTGTGCGAGTTTTGAGACTGCTGGCCTGCACCAATTTTCGATGGTGCTTTGCGAAAGACGAGCAGGAAAAGGGCTAACGCGTAAGTGAGGAAGAAAAAGCCAAACGATCTTCTAACTATTTTCGTTTCTTTTTCCCATTGCATTTGTCATGTAGTTAGCATGCGAGATTCACTCGCATGACATAGCAAGAAAGCGTCAAACGATCTTCTTGTTATTTTCTTTTTTTTTCCCTC